CCTCTTTGGCAACACTGAACTTTGCAACACATGATAAGACGTTGCAAAAGGCCTTTTGCAACGTTTTTTGGCCGCTGCAAAAGGCCTTTTTTGTCGTAGTGCTTCAAGAATATTGTGTTGGTATGAAAGAAGTACAATTTTAAGTCTATCAATATTCTTGAAGAATATTATGTTGTTAATTTCCAAGACTCACAATTTAGACATTTCAGTGTAAATATTATATTGATCCTAAAGAATTGCAATTTTAATTAAATTGATTCTAAAGAAACAATAGTTTATTCATATCAATATTCCTGAAAAATATTATTTTGAGACTCCAGAAAAGTCAATATTGTGTAATATGTAGGGATAAACTTACTATTGTTAGTAATTTATTCTCCATTAAATAAAAAAAGAAACTTACAATGTTTGTAATAGTGTTTCTTAATTGGTACACTATACTAAACTTTAGTGACCATTTTGATCACTATTGTTTTGAATCAGAAGTTAAATAACTCTTATATTTTATTGTTTGGCATGTCTAGTTAGACCATCACGGCATCATTGGATCAATAATGACACAAAATTGAGAATTTAAACGTTCAATAAAGAATCAGAAGATTCTTCAATTTAATGAATTCCTATATAATATTTGTTCTCTTTTTCAAAAATTGATCATCACTGTCTAAAATAGGGATTGAACTCCCTATATTTCTAAAAATTAATTAGGGTGATAAATGAAGTCCCATCACCTTACACGTTGATCATCCAGATATTATTTGTATCTAATAGATTTGATACATATATTAGATTATTGCATGGTATTCGTAACCTGAAATTTGTGAAATTACTATTCAAAATTTAAATTATGAATATAATTTTCAGATATACAATCAAGACAGTGTGTTTTGTTAATACTAGTGATCCTAAATCTCAATATTTTGATAAGTGTTAGTTAAGATGTCGATAAATAGTTCAATGCTATTACTTGTTAAATGTCCCCAATTAATTTAATTGAGAATAAGGTATTTTCATTTCTGTTTAGGGAAAACTATTACGCATCATGCCAACATCATAATTCTCCTTGTTTTAATTGTCTTATGACCAAAGCCTAATTTTTTTCATCTAATTATTTTGATAGAGCAGTATATGTAAAATTAATCTACTATAATGCATTGAGATGAAAAGTTTCAGAAAAAATGTGTAGTTTGAACCCTTATACAATATCTCAAATCCTAACGGGTGATATTTTATAAAACAGTTTGCTGATTGTCAATTTGATTGGACAATTCTCTCAACATTAAAGAGGGAAATTAAGAAGCTAGAAATAATGTATAAATGCATCATTATCTAAATTCTCGCAAAAGATAATTTATTTAGAGATCGGAAATATCTTACACGCCAACTTTAAATGCCCCAACTTGAATTAACGTCGTAGAGGACAATCAGTTAACATTACATTTGAAAAATTTATGGTACACTTGAAACATGATGATATTTGATTTTAACAAAAAAAAATCTCCAAACGAAAATGGAGCTATTAGCGAAGATTTTCACATTAAGAAGACATATATTCTTGATAAGTATTTAGACATAACAAAGTATAAACATCAGAAGAGGTTCATGTACCTGATATGTTGAAAATTGAGATCTCTCAATTAATTATGTCATTATAGAAAAGAATGGAATTGAAAAAGAAAAGTTGTCGACAACACTTTTGCACATGATGTACTATATTATATTATGAATAACGAGAAATAGAAATATATTCATCGAAACATATTGATCGAAGTAATGATTAACCAAATAAAATTACTAGAGAAACCTGAAATTTTTGGATTTATAATCTGAACACCTAAAGATGTATACTTATGCGAAATGAAAATAGAAGTTGTAATATGAAATGTACAGCTCTTTACATAATAAATTTCGTGAAAACTTGTATAAATAGATAAATTATCATGTGGTGGATGTAATCACAAATCTCTATTTTACTAGTCTAAAAATGCATGAAATTTGATATGCATGTAATAAATGTGATTATAACCAACTTATTTTGTATGATTTTAATACTATCGTTGAAGGATTTTATGCCTAAAGCATATAATTCAAGTACTATTATCATGAGGAGGAGAATACATGTTGTACTCTTTTTCCATTGACCAAATTTTTGTTTCATTGGATTTTTCTGGCAAAGTTTTTAATGAAATAATTTTTGTAGCGTACTTAAAAAAATAATGTATTTTTTTTTCCAGTTTTTTCCATGAGGTTTTTCCTAATAAAGTTTTAAATTTTTAATAAAGCATATTTTTTGTGTAATGATGTCATTAACCTACAAGACATTTGCCCTCAACAAGTATACTCTTATATGTATGAGACTTACGAAGAGATCAATAAGAACTATTTTCTTAATCATCATGTTACTACAGTCAAAAAAAATTGATAAATATCTCACATGAAAATAGTGTTATTTGAAAACTATACAAGATAATATGTGACGTACTTCATCAAAATTTGCAATATTGAAGATATTGACGTAGAAGACGTGGATCACTTCCTTCGATCAAGTTTTGTCCAATTGAGTTTTTTTTGACGAGGTTTTAACGAGGTAGCAGTTTATTACTCTAAATTATTTGTACTATTTTTTTTTTATTTGTTGGTATTTTTGTCAAACAATGTTTCAATGAGATAGTTATTGTGCAAATAATTATCAAATGGGTAGTGTTGTAAAATTATAAAATAAATATTGATGATTATGTAGCATTATCATCGTGCATAGATAATACTTATCTAATATGGAGAGTCTATTTCATTCCAATTGTCATTTTGAACCTCATAAATACAGATTTTGATTCTCAATAAAATACACACTTGAGTTTTGACTTTTATATTTTTTTTTTCTCTTTTTCGTCTATTACTTTTATTTTATAACAAAAATAATATTATTCTTCTCAAACAATTTTTTTTTTGGCACACGATGGTACAAAACATAGAAACAAAACAAAAACAACTATGACACGGTTGTCGACACACACATAGGCACAGACACAGAAACACAAATTCAGCAACATAAGCACTACGATGATGCAACTCAAGCAGACGAAAGGCACAAAAATGAAAGAACCAATGTATGCAAATCAGCACACCAACAAAAATCAGAAGGCAACATGATATGATACATTTTAAAACAACGATATATTTATTAAAAATAAATACTTACAAAACAAGTGTAACAATCAAGGCATATCAAGGCAGGTGAA